TTTTTTTTTTTTTTTTTTTTTTTTTTAGCATACTCAGAGAAATTGAAAATCAGATATTTAAATAAAAATCTAAACCTATTTTCTATAAAAATTGCTTCTAAGCTTGGAAGGTTACAGTTAAAAACCTTTTAAAAAGCAAAGTAGGAGAACAGAATCAGAAAAGTCCCATTTTATGACAAGTACAACAATGTTTAACTTGACAGATACACACAAAGAAACTATTAAACACTAAATAAAGTCTATTTGTTTTTTGTATTAAATCAGACAGTTTACTGCTTCGTTCTGCTCAGTGTTTTTCCTCTGGGTGTTTATTGCTGCTGATGAAGGAAAACTCAGTCCTTCCTGCAGGTCTGACAGTTTTCCTTCAACCTCTGAAACATTTAAACCTCCATAGACCCACCTGATAAACCTGTGAGCTTTCGTTTCCGTCCTTCACCACATACACACCACCTCCTGCAGTGTGGAGTCTTGAATACCTCAGCTCCTCTCCCAGTATTTATGTGCGCTAGTTTTATGCCAGGATTCAGCCTGATTGGACGTTGGGTTGATTCATGCTGCGATACATCTCCTCAGGCTTTCAAAAAGTCTCTGTTAATATGAGCTCATTCAGATGAGCAGGAAGAGGCGACTCTGGGAAGCGTAGATCATGTCTTACTTGGAGCTGAACTTCCCCTGCTGCTCTCTGCACAGATCCCATTAAATCCAGCCTAACAGTCTGGAATTAAATCAAACAGAAACACCAGAAACTCTAATTCTCTGTCCAATCTGTTCCCAACATCAATCCTTTTTAATTTTCCCAGGAATCTCTCTCTCGTCCGGTTGATTGCACAGCTATTCTGGTCTCTTTCTGCTGTCCTTTCTAGTAACTGTGTCTATAAAAAGATCTGCTAATGATTAGAGTCGTTTGACTCTGGGAAAGTGTCGGCGGCGGATCACTGCATCAATCTCACTAATTAAAGCTCTGAATAATTCACTTTGCAGATATTTCAGGTGGTTCTTCCAGCTGAGGTGAAGCCCGACAGCTCGACGGCTCAGAGGTCCCAAACCACCGGACACCTGGTGCTGAGGATGCCCCGGGTTGGTACCGCTGCTCTCTGGTTCCAGTCTCAGCCAGGTTCAGCTTTGTGATGCAGAGACGGACAGGAAGTCCAGCTTTTTGCAGCGCGGGTTAATTAGAGTGATGTGTGACTTTCTGCTCACATTTATGCTCCTCAGAGGATGGATCTTAATCACTGCTGATGTCCAGTTTAGAGGGAAATGTTTTATCTTTATCATTCCTCACAAATGTTTTCACAAGTCTTTACTTTTTTTCCTTTTTACACATGAAAACCCCAAAATTGTATTGCTATATTATGTGAGGCTTTAAGAAATAAAAAGTCTATTGCTTTTTTTTAAGGGCTTGGGACTTTTGATCTGGAGATCATGGTTGAATAGTTACATTTTAGTCAGCTGGATCTAGAGCTCCTGGACTTTGACTAGGCCATTCTGACAGACAAATATCTACTTGTTGTCTTCTGCTCAGCACAGACATCCAGGCGACCCTCTCTCCAGCCACCTCCTCCAGCTCCTTTGGGGGAAGCTAGAGACATCCAGTATGTTCCAGTGAACATGTTTTCATCTAAACCAGTGTTTTTCAACCCTGGTCCTCAAGACACACTGCCCTGCATGTTTTAGATGTTTACCAGCTTTCACACACCTGTTATCAATTGATAACAGATTATCAGGCTTTGCTGAACTGCAATCATTTGAATCAGGTGTGCTGAAGCTCAGAAACATCCAAAACATGCAGAGCAGTGTGCCTTGAGGACCAGGGTTGAAAAACACTGATCTAAACCATCATATCTGTGGAAATATGTTTGGGGTTATCATATTGCTGGAACCTACTTCCCAGCATAATGCTGCTTCCACCATGTTTCACCCTGGAGATGTTATGCTCAGAGTGTTAGCGTAGGCTAGCTCAGGACGTTTCACGTTGGTCTCAACTGTCCAGAGCACCTTCTTTAAGATAAATGGTGTCCTCCTAAAGCCGGGTATACACTGTAAATTATTTTTCATCATTGCATGCAGCTACAGCTCACACTGTGCGACGAAACCACAGGGTTTAAAAGTTCACAGCTCACTATGCATGTTCTCACACTGTGCAGCCCGACGCTATGATGCAATCTACCCGTTCACACTGTACGCCTTAAAACCATGTCAGACTGAGCTGCCGCCACTCGGACTCGTCTATCTGGAAGCCAAATGAGTAGAACGGGAAAAAAGACGGAAGTGTGGATGCCTCCTGTTAAATATGAAGCTCAGTAGAGAGAAACGTGCTGCCTTGGCAATTTGTGCAATTTTGTGTGCTGAAAGCCCTAAAAAGGAAAGGTTATGACGCATTTGGACAAAGACATGGCTTAGCAAACGTGGCTACTACGGTGTGACAATTTTACAGAAAGAACTCCATTTCACTTGCACCCCCGCCATGCTTCTGTGTTGTTGTCTGAGAGGAAGAAAAAGAAAGATCCTTGATTGCGTATGCGCACTGAGCGATTTGCCCACGACCACCTTACGACAGCTGACTAAATTTAAACATGTTTGATTTTTTCCCAAACTTACAACTCCTGATCGGGAGGTGGCCATGCGAGGCTCTCCCCTCGTTATTCCCTGTACACTACACGACGCACGATCAGGCTGAAAGTCAGCCCGATTCAAAAAATCTCGCACGACTGCAGAATTAGCCCGAAAAGGGCAAAAAGTCATACAGTACATGCCAGCTTGGAGCAGGCTCCAGAGTCACCATGTACCTCTTAGTTGCTTCCCGGATATTGTTTTCCTTGTCCACCTGCCAGGCAAGGTGAACATTATCTTTGTAGATCAGCAGTCAGTCCATCCTTTCTCCATGTCCAGAGGATGGAGTGAGCAGAGATCTGGGAGATATTCAAAGCTTTGGATGTCGCTTTAGAACCAAGCCCTGTTTCAAACTGAATCAGAACATCCTCTATAACTGGTCTGCTGGGTTTCTTGGTCCTCAGGATGCTAAGGATCTCATCTAACAAATCTCTAAAGCCAAAAGCAGAACAGCTGCTTTCAGACTGATTTGAAATTATAAACAGGTGCACTCTGTTCACCAATGAGGTGGTTTGATGGCAGTTAGCTCAGTTAGTTAGGCCTGCTATCAGAGTAAACCTTGCCAAGTCCTAATGCGAAGACCCTTCTTGGATGTTATTTGTGAAGAACCAAAAGTCTTTAAAAGTCTTGGCTACTTTTTGGCGGTTGTATCTTAGCAAATAAGATACACTAAAGTTTGTGGCTTGGAATAAATACCAAGCAGATTTATTAAAACTTAACCTTAATCAGACATGACTGATGGGTAAAGTCTAAAATCCAAGCTCAGCTCTGTATGCTCTACATAGGCTTGTAAAAAAAAAACCCGGGTAGATGTAACAGCCGATACTTTCTGCATTCTTTGACCAATAGATCTGTACTGGGACTCTAGGATTGCTGGTTAACTTTTTTTATTCTTTTTTTACACTTAACATGAAATATTATAGGTGTGTTGAAGCTTCTAAAAACAAACGAAAAAATTACAGAACATTTAAACCTGTTTGTTAATGTTTTCTTCCAAAGTTCCACTGAAGGGAACATGAACAAAGGCAAGTGATAGACTGCAGCCATTAATCACCTCCATTGCTTCGGCTACATCCTGCATCACAGCATGAGTAAACAGCTCAGGAAGCCAAACCAGGACCAGCCCACTGATCTTTGTCTTCTGTGTTCCATCAGGCTGAAGGTGAACTCAAAGTGAAGAAGAACGTCCCACGTCCGCGCAG